AAACCTTCATCCTGGAGTGGTTCAATATAGGAAAAGATATTCATGATGATGATGATACATAGCCCTGGGAAGGATAACTTTAGATTGGAGGTTTGTTGGAAAATACAGAATGTACTTTTTGTTGGTGCTAAGAGTTGCGGGTAAATTTCTTTTCAGTACTTGCGGCTTTGAAGCCAGTTATGAAAGAAAATGTTCAGGGCCTAAAATATCCTGGAAGGAAATTTGGCTTTGAAGACTAAATAAACACCGAGAGCTAGACGGAGGCGTAAAGATACATTTAACCCTGAAATTCGATGCCATATCATGGAGATTTTCTGTTAATGTGAAGCATCATGGTATCCACTGATACTCATTGGTTCAGGACAGGATACTGGAGGAACACAGGCCTCAGGACAGAGAAATTGCCTCACAGCGATCTGGACTGCGAGGTTCCCCTTAGCTCCTCTAATCCCGTCTTCAGAGAGCCCTAACTCAAGCTATACTGGTGAAGTACAGTAGCACTCGGTGAACTGGGAAGGCCTCTCCTGCCCTGGGTACTGTAGATAATCACGCTCCTTCCTCAGTGCAGAGAAAAAGCAAAACAACAAGTTAACATGTATGTTTTTTACCATAAATATTATTTAATGAGATCCTGGCCTCAGTGCTTGGTCGGTTTAACAACAAAGCTGCTTTATATTTCCATGCCCAAAAGTGACCTGGATTTGTTCTTACTATTACAAGTAGAGGTCTAGCTATGCTTGGCATTAGGGAGTGAGACAGAAGAGACGTGATCGTGATAAGTCCCGAGCATGCTGTTGCTCATACATGGAGACTGCTTGGTCCACATACAGGATGGTAACCGACACGACTGTGGCATCTGTCTGACCTGTACCAGGATTATATACTCTGGTGATCTGGGAGGGACTGTCTGTCTTGTAGACTGCACTGTGAAACACTGTGAAACATGAGTCCCCTTTAGTCAGTCCAAATACTCGTAAATCGCACCAAAACTTTCACTTTAACAGCCTTTTATTGCAACACATCGCTTCAATTTCTCATGGAGGAAGGATCAGAGCTCAAGCCAGCAACACTATCCTGCTTTTCTTCCTAAAGCAAAGCCTTCTGTTGCCACTCTGTGACCTGATCTTGGCCTAGGAGCTCGTGTTAAAGAAACACATGCCTGCCAGGGTTCATCCATGGGTCAACTCCATCTTACAGGATCACTGGTAGATATGGCCCACTAATCCGCCTTAGTGGGAAGCATTTCGACTATTAATAGTTTCTACTCTGCGTACTGTGATGTGGAGGTTTAGATTAGACAATTAGTCTTACAGAGCCCACAGAGACTGATAGGATTCCCTCAGAGCTACGCCAGCTCCCTGCTCAGCAGCACCACTGTCTCAGAGTGACACTCCCTCACACAACAACACATTCTGGCACTGGCACA